TGTACTTGAATTATGAAGGGAGCACTTTTCCACCCCACTGAATGGTAGCAGTGCTGAAATTGGTGGAGAAGACGAACCCGAGCCCCCAGTCGATGACGATGGAGTCGATGCTCCACCACCTGACTGGTACGAATAGCGATAGCGCGCTTGAAAAACAACAAAGCTGCTGGAGCTGACAGCCTGCCAGCTGAGCTATTAAAGTACGGTTCCGAGCAGTTGATAAGGTGCATGCATCAACTCTTATGCAGAATATGGTCAGATGAACGCATTCCCAACGGCTGGAATTTAAGTGTACTCTGCCCAATCCACAAGAAATACGATCCCGCCATTCATGCCAAATACCGCGGAATCAGCCTTCTAAGCATAGGTTATAAGGTCTTATCGAGTGTATTATGCGGTGCGAAAGACTGAAGCCCACCGTCAACGAACTGATTGGACCTTATCAGTGTGGCTTTAGGCCTGGAAAATCCACCATAGATCAGGTATTCATAATACGCCAAATCTTGGAAAAGACCCGCGGGATTAGGATCGGCACACACCATCTATTTTTCGATTTCAAAGCCGCTTTCAACAGCACGAAGAAAAGCTGTCTTTATGCCGCGATGTCTGAATTCGGTATCCTCGCGAAACTAATACGGCTGTGAAAAATTACGTTGAGCAATACCATCAGCTCCATCGGAATAGGGAAGGACCTCTCCGAGCCGTTCGAACCAAACGAGGTTTCAGACAGGGTGACTCCCTCTCGTGTGATTTCTTTAATCTGTTGTTGGAGAAGATAATAAGAGCCGCAGAACTGAACCGGTCAGGCACCATACTTAAAAGAGCGTACAATTGCTGGCGTATGCCGACGACATCGATATTATTGGTAAAAACAAGGGCTACGCCTGTTCTGCCTTCTCGGGATTAGATAGAGAAGCAAAGCGAATGGGTCTGGTGGTGAACGAGGACAAAACAAAAGTAGACGGCTTCGTTTATTTGGGAACCAGCATTAACACCAATAATAATGCCAGCCTTGAAGTCCAACGTAGATTCACTCTTACCAAGAAGTGCTACTTTGGACTGAGTAGGCAATTGAAGTGAAGTCCTCTCTCGTCGTACAAATATCACACTCTATAATTCACTCATCATGCCTGTGCTGGTGTATGACGTAGAAGCTGGACAAAGAAAACATCTGATGCAGCGGCTCTGCGTAAGATATACGGACCTTTACGCGTGGGCGATGGCGAATACCGCAGACGATTTAACGATGAGCTGTATGAGCTTTACAATGATATAGACATAGTGCAGCGATTTAAAATTCAGCGGCTACGCTGGCTTGGCCTTGTCGTTCGAATGGACGGAAACTCTCCTGCTCTGAAAGTATTCAACGCGGGCCGCGATGCTGGTAACAGAGGAAGAGGAAGGCGTGCTCTGCGTTGGAAAGACGAGGTGGAGAAGGACTTGGCTTCACTTGGCATTTCCAATTGGCGTCAGTTAGAACAGAAGGGAAATGACTGGCGTGATGTGTTGGACTCGGCCAAAATCGATTAGGCGGTAACAGCGCCAATAAAGAAGAAGAAGATATTTATATATATATATATATATATATATGTATATAGATTTCTGCCATTCCCCTGATGTATAAGAATTTTAGAAATATATCAGCTATAATGCTAGTCAGTTTTTAGTCCTAATATTTTTTTTCAATTGGCCAACATATTTTCTAAATATGAGCCAAATTTGCAACTAAATGCAGTTTTTTTAGAATATCCCGTCAACAGCGCCTCCTAGTGACACAATTTTTAGTCGGATTTTTTTTATGTATGTCGGCTGCTGTGGTGTAGTGGTAAGCAGTGCGCTTCCACTCCGCAACGCCTGGGTTCGAGCCCTGGGCAAAGCAACATCGCAAAAAATATAGCAAAAAAGGTATTTTCTTAACAGCGGTCGTCCCAGGCAGGCAATGGCAAACCTGCGAGTGTATTTCTGCCATGAAAAATAGCTTCTCATAAAAATACAATCGCCGTTCGGAGTCGGCGTAAAACTGTAGGTCCCAAAAAGCTCTGGCAACACTGCTCGCAGTTGCCCGCGACTTTGACTGCGTGCAGCTCTGCTGCGCATCCCTATTGTAGATTAAGCGATATTGTCGGCGTAAAACTGTAGGTCCCTCCGCTTTGTGTGACAACATCAAGGCGAACGCCACAAGTCGGAGGAGAAGCTCGGCCAAACACTAACATATTTGTAAGCGCCAATCAATTATTATTATTGTTATGTTTCCGCATAACTTTCGACCACGTCCACCGATTACGAAAATCTCACAGGTGGTCCCATACTAATTAGATGCGATCATTGCATGATGAAAAAATTAACGGTACTCTTAAATTTTTATATGAGAATTAAAGTCGGTTGTGTTTTTTGCTTAAAAATTATTTCTTAACTTATTTAATTATAGTTGTATTACTTCCAAAAGAAATGCCTTTCGTTCTTCGTCTTTCGTCGAACTGCGATTATAATTTTGTATCAACGCTATACCTCGTTCAGCAATATCATTAAGATATTTAATACTTTTAATTATTTCTATAACAACCAACTTCAGCGTAATTTTTTAGAGAATTTAATGCCCTATAAGAATATGCCTTGAAAAAATTTGTATCCCTTTTTTATAAATTTTTTTAACGGTTCAAAAGTTATAAAATTTTTAATGAGAAACAACTCTTTTTACATGTTTTTTACATAGAAAATTTCAAATGCCCACTGACATGTTTTAAAATTTAAATAAAAATATTTCCAAATGGCAGAAATTCCGTCTCAGTAAATATGCCATCTTAAGGCCATAAATTCGCCACGTTAGTTATTTTGGGTTCACCCTTATATATACATATATACAAGAATTACTCGTTCACAGTAATAAGAATAAGTAGCAAATTTCTGTATCCTCCGCTGGGCCTGTGTTCTTTTTCATTATGTACTTGGATGTGAAATAACACATGTTCTAAAATTTGTTAACCATACTTGTATTAAGTCATCTTATAAATGATTTTATCAAGATAAAACATCCCATACACAAATATTGCCACTGATAAAACTCATACAAATCTGGCAAACAAAATGACATATGGTAGGCAATAATTTTAGCCTGTGAAGACGCGTCGTTAGCTAGTCTTTCAGTATTGTTAAGGGTAATACGGCTTTCCTACGGCACCGTGAATTACTTTGTTCGATCCTCCAATTTCGCTATCGTATTACCCCTTTCCCACAGGCACATTCTTAATTCGATTTGACAGTTTTCTACCATTGTGTATTGTTTTTTTTTCTTTGCTACAAAATTTATGCAAATTGTAAGTAAATGCTAAAAATTTATAAGTTAAATTGGTGATGTACACATGTATAAACTTTACTTTTCGTACTCAGAAAAGGTGACAGTTTTAATTTGTGAACTGGTTTCGATAAATTTCCGATAAAAATTAGAAACAATAGCGATTTTTTCGTAATGCGCATAGTAATTGGATCTGAATTACAAACAAATTAGGTAATTCGCACTAAAAATTTAATATGGCGATTTACGTGATTCGAAGGGTAATTGGAGTTAGAATCAGGGTGTCCAGATTGTTTAAAAAAATCGCCAAAAATCGACATTTTTTTAATAAAATTAATGAAATCGATTTAACAAATCTTTTATTTTAAAAATGAGATCTTGTTATAATATAGTTTTTAAAACCAAAAACGAATATAACACCTTCAGAGGGTAATAATAAATAACACTTATATAATAGTGATGTACAAACAATTTAAAAATACGCATACTTTTTAAAAATATTTGTTTCAACACATTTTGCAATAGGACTACGCAATTATTATATTTATTATAACTCATATTAATTGATTAATAGCAAAATCCGCTTTTAAGAGCTCGGCGCTAAAAATTAAATAGGCGAGATTAGCTATTTCCACAATTTCTTCAAAATCACCCATAGTGTCTGGATCATTTACATTTCTGTTGTTGTCACATATTGAGCTATTCAACCTTGTAACATACTGTTTGTTATTGGAAACCTTTTGCAGCAGAAACTAGTGTTGGGAAGTATCGAGTACTTTTGAGGATCGAGTTCTTTGATATCGATACTTTTAAGGATCGAGTATTTTTGAGAGTACTGAGTACTTTCTTTAAATATAAACATGCTGGTAACATTTCAATGCTTAGCGTAGAAATCTGACAAGCTGACAGCACTTTATTCAATCTAATTAATATGTATGTTAATCCCAAACTACGTCAAATATATGGATAACCGTAACTCGCTCTCTTGTGATTCACACACTTTTCTGGTGACAAAATCAAAGCTTTTTTAAAAGTATTTAATTCACTAGGCAATCGTTTCAAAAGTTCTTGGATAAGGGTGATTAAACATTTTTGACAGTCTTTTAATATGCTTCTTAAGTCAAGTTTATCACGCAGTTCATTAGCCTCTTCTATGAAATTATCGTGGAAAACTAAGTTTTGTATATTTTTATATTTGGCAAAAATTTATTTAAAGGGAACAAATCGCCAAAAATCGCCAATGGTGATTTCCTAAATTCTTACGCGCAAATATACAAGAAAAATCGCCAAATTGGCGCGAAATCGCAAAATCTGGACACTCTGTAGTGCGATTCACTATCTTTTAGAGATATGATTGTCGAATTATTGCTTTACGATTTTTGATGTTTGCAGTAACGATTTTGCGATTCCCTAACTTATCCTTAATGACACTAAACAGCTGACATTCGCTTTTTATTTAAATTGATAGCACGTGGCACCTCTGTGAAATGAAATGTCAAATTATACGAAGAGCACAAAGAGGAATACGAAAAAAATAATTACATTTGTGTTCGCCGCCCGCTAATTTAAATTGTCTGTCCGACAAAATTTAAGATTTTTGAAAGATGTAAGTATTATAAAAGAGAATATACACATTTTAAACTATGATTTATGCATAAATATGTTTACTATCGATTTAGAATGAGTTCAACAAGCCAATGTGCAGCAAAGAGGAGCCGCGCTTCAGGCGAGCAAATTGGAAGGCTGCTGAACTACTTGACGGAGTGCCCGGGACTAGCAGCGGGCAAATTCCAAAAAATGCACGGCAAGTCTGAGAGCGACAGGAAGTGGAGTGAGCTGGCGGCAAGTGTAAATACCATCGGCGGAGATGTTAAGACTGTCGAACAATGGCAAACAGTAAGTATATCTTTTGGAATTATTTGACGAGGAGCTGGGGAACTATTTAGTAATTTGCCCAATGATTTCGGGCTTGTGTGCCCGAACAGGTGACCCGACCCAAACAATTTTTACACACGCTTATATTGAAGGGTATACACTTTAATCCAATAACAGTGGGCAAATAACTAAACATTTCCCAGAATCTGCGCTACAAAGTTTAATTTAAACAGGTGTGGCGCGATCTGAAAAGCCGTACAAGTATCAGGGTACGGGACAGGAAGAGGCAGCAAGCGTTAAGCGGCAACCGGCCGGTTAATCAAGAGCCCATAACAGAGGTTGAGAGGTGAGTTATGGCGCTCATCGGCAGCGAGTACGTTGAGGGCAATGGAAGAGCTGTCGAAAATGTGCCTGTGGAAGAGGTAATATGGAGTCAGGTGATATTTTGGATTCCTCATTTCTAAAGCTTTTTGTATTCCTCAATAGAATTTGCAATTACGTTTGGAGGATGGAGACGATAGTGTTGCCTCCGTACTATCGACTACCACAGCAGCTGACGATGGCGAGGTGATGTGTGTGACACCCCGTGTTTCTGCTAAAAGGACTCCGCGTAGTAGTCTAAAAAGGAAGCGAGAAGATGAGGAGAAGGAGAAGGAGAAGGAGAAGGAGAAGGAGAAGGAGATGCAGGCCAAGCTCCTGGAAGTGTCCAGCAAGCAAGCAGATGCTTTAAAGGTAAATTCTCATTAAAACGATTAATGTCTGGACGTCCAGTACTAGGTATAATGTACGATTCACGTTTGTATTAAAACTGAGAAATATTTTTTATCAGACTTAATCTGAATATTGTGAGAGCGTTTGTAGAATCAGTATTACCTCTTTTACACTCAGTGACTAATAATATATGTGCATAAAAGTTGAATGCATTATATCATAGTAAACTTAACCTCCAGACTTTACTAGTCGTTCTTTACGAATAAGAATAAAATGAAAAAATATTATTGACTTTTGGATTTTTGGTTTTTTAGCTGTTAGCTGAATGTAGTGCCGCCAATACAGAAACCAACAAATTGATGGTTGAGGCGTTTAACAGATTGGTGGACGTCATTAGCTCCTGGACTTGATATTTTTATATATATATTTTTAATTTAAGCTACATTAGCATTAACTATTTTGACTTATAGTATATACACCTATAACCAAAAAAAAAAATATGTTAGCGAAATTTGCTTCAGTTATTTCTATTTCACTTTAGTTTATTTAAT